ACTACTCTTCCTTGTACCTTGTTCTTCCTTTTTTCCCTCCTTTTCGTAACAAATAATCTTCCTTTGTTATTTGGAGAAACTGGGATATTATTCCGATAATGAAATATCCCCAAAATGGATAGCCCAGGCTAACTGAATCTCATCAGATCTCAGAAGCTAAGCAGGGCCAGCCCTGGTTAGTATTTGGATGGGAGACCTCCAAGGAATACTAGTGTCATGACACAGAGGCAGGCAATGGCAAACCACCTCTGAAATGTCTCTTACCTTTAAAAAAGTCTAGCTCGCCACCTAGTGGTGCATAACACTAAAAGAGCTAGAAATTCTGGCTGCCAAACAATCTTGGGATCTCCTGGCTATACTACACACACTGCCATACGACAATTATTTAATTACAGAGTCAACAGGTCCCTCTTGCCTAGTACTTTCTGACTTAACACAGTGTGTCTTCAGGAATCTTTCTCAGCCTTAGTGCTTCAGAGTGTTTCATGAAAGATAATGGGGGGAGAGAGAGCCTGGGATCTTCTATACAAACAACATCAACCCTGTCTCTGAGCCCCCCTCTGTCAGAACAAATGGCACACACAGTGCACAGAAGGCTTTCCGCTTTCCATCTACAGTGGCATTTCACCAATATAAAATTTAATTTACTGACTGAAATAACATACATACAAAAATAAAATGTATCTAGAGTCCATATATGTGCACCGCCAAAAACAATTTCTTCCTATTAAACAACAAAAAGTCCTTTTAAACGAAATACCTGATGGGAGGAAGAGTTCTGTGGAGCTCAAAAGCTTGCTCACTGTTTGATGTTTTAGTTGGCCCTTTCGGATCTCCCCCCCCCCAATGGAGCAATAGTTCCATCGTAAGCAGAGGTTCGCCCTTCTAGACCCACTGACTCCAATGGACCCAGAAGGATGTAACTCTGCTTAGGCATGTACGGCAACAGCCATCTGCACACACCCCTTAAAATAGCAAAGCAATCCTAGACAGACTTACGCCAGTCCAAATACGATGAAACAAATAAGCTTAGACAGGAGCAATTGCAATCCTATTTAGGACTGCACTGCTTTGGAGCAATCCTAAGTGTGCCTACTCAGAAGGGAGTCCCAAAGGAAGCAGGATTGCCTGGAGGAATATGTCTTGTCCCTTCAGCAGAGGCTTCATGGGGTGGAACGGGAAGCAGAAGCTTTCTGTGCCACGGAGGCAAATCACCTCACCTGGTAAATAGCATCCCCATAAGGCTCTACTGGAGAGATGATTCCCCCCCCCTCCAGGCAGTTGGCAACCCCAGACTGGGACCACTACGGAGGCAGCAGTGAAAGAAAAACACAATTCCACATGCCTACAACCAATGCTCCCTCTAAGCTGTGGAGTCTAGTGAACAAAACTTCTACTTTGTGAGCTACTGGCATGAAAGTTGTGAGCAAGCGATTTGGCTACTGCATACATTAGTTTGTTCTGGAGCCATCCTTCCTGAGCTAAGACAAAAATGTGTGAGCCGGAGGCTAAAAAACTGTGAGCTAGCTCACACTAACTCAGCTTAGAGGGAACACTGCCTACAACCAAATATGTGCATATCAGACATGTGCACGTTATACCAAGTTTCTGAAGAAGGTTTTGCGTGCAGCTTTGCAGGTTTGTTATCAGTGTGTGCTATGTAATGTATGGGCATGTAACTGTGTAACAGGTCTTATGCTCTCTGGGTATAGCTGTACTTTCAGGGGTGTTGGCATGTGTGAGACATGAATCCCAGTCTGACCAATATTTACTCAGGAACCATTGAGTCCAGCAGTGGTTACTCATGAATCTGATCATAATGCATAATACAATTGCGACCTCAATACAAAAGACGGGGGACACCCCTTTTGCATTCACTGCTTTGTTTCTAACACTGTTTTTGTGTGCCATTCAGAGTGAAGAAAACGTTCTGCGTCTGTGGGTGGGTGTACACACACACATTCACATACACATACGCATACATATATATTAAAATGCTTAAAAATAAATGGCATTCCATGGGATTTTTGTTTAAATGCATTCTTCGCCATTGGGAGGAAAGGCCGAGAGGGGACTGCTGTGTGCACACCCGTGCTTGGGACAAATTAAAAAAGCGGGGTCTTGGAGAGTTAAAAGATAAACGCTCTTCTACCTCCGCGGGGAAACGTGTCAAGAGCTTTCCTAAAGCAGCTAATAATGTATGTCTGGTGCTCCATTGTTCGTCCGAGCGGAGATGCAACGTTAGAAATCAGAAGCAAAAGCAAACATCTCCTCTTAATACGCCATAACGCTTCCAGCACTCTCGCCCCTATCAGCCCTGTCATATCCACTTTGCATGTGTCCTTTCGGGCTTTCATTGTCAGCCTGAACCTGCACCTCATCCGAGCCTGTCCTGGCCGAGACACCATTCTCCGACAGGGAGAAAGCAGCAAATAAACAAGACGAGTTGGTGTTTAAAAGAAGAAGAAGAAGAAGAAAGAGTTGCCTTGCAGGTGCCTGCAGCTGGCGGTTAACACAGACAGTAAGAGGATCAACTCCATCTCCACTGGCTGGAGAGAAAAAATAAAGCTCTCACATTTACCATTCACAGTTTAGTTAATTTGGATGATAACGGTTAGTTTCTAATCCCATTGTGCGAGAATGAATATACTGAGACCTACAAGCCGTCTGAAAGAGTATCTCTGGCAAGCAGGACAACGCTCCGGAGGATCCCCGGGCTAAACCGGGCAAGACACGCAAAGGTTTTTTCACAACATTTTATGGAGTTGTTTAGTTACCTCGGTTGCAGACACAACAGGCTGCAGACAAAACTTCAAGAGGCCAGATCTTTTTTTTTTTTTTAAGGAAAAAAAATATTGCCACGAGATAGGAATCTGCATCTTTACTTGCTTCAGTTTAAAAAGTAGCCACAAGCAAAGCTTAAATAATGTTGCTTCCCACATTTAAATTTAAAAAATAAATAAATTAAGGATGGGGAAATTTATACATTTAAAAGTTAGTAAGAGTGATTACAAAAAGTCTCCCTGAAGCTATGATTATGAAATCACAAACACGTTCCGTAATATTTCTCCACAGCAGGTAACCGTTTCCATGATAGAAACGATTAAAATCTGGATAGGCTGGCACATATCTCCAAAATCGAGGTGATGTTTTTTACTATGAACGTGTAAACCAGATTAACATTCCGATTTACATTTGTTATTCAGTTAGGCGACGTGTAAATTAGACTGGTTTGGGGGCGGGGTATGTCCCCATGCCACAAACTAAAGAGGTGCCAAGTCAAGTCGAAAGAGCCATGAGAATGCGCTCCGAACCTTTGGAGAGGAAAGGAGCCATCTTCTCTTTTTTTAAAGCTAATTCCCCCAAGTTCCTGTTTGTGTGTTTTCGATATTTTCCTCTTCAAGGCTTTGAAAGCAAAGCCAGCAACTTCCCCCAGCTCCATTATTCCCCCCTCAACCCCCCCGGACAAATTTGTTGCCCCCCAAAAAGAGAAATCCTTTGCGCTCTTGAGGCGAGAAGCGCGGCCGCCAGAACAGGGGGCCCTACGAAAAAAAGTTAACAATGCTGTGAAAATATGTTTGCAGAAAATAGACAATTGTTGGATTAGACGTATTCAAGTATGAAATAATGCCTTTTTGTGTAAAAACTTCAGCAATGTGCGTGTACAAAAGTTCCCTGTGGCAGTTACTTGCTCCCTTTGTGAGCGTTGCGCTTTGGCGTCTCCACTTGGCGCATTTCACTCCCAGCCCCCTTTAAACGCGATTGTTTCTTTCTTTCTAATGACATTTACCGGATCAAAACATGCCGTTAATTCGATCAGAAAGCTTTACCCTCCCTAACAATGCCACAATAATTTCTCCTGAAGTTTGTTAAATTGACCAAAATTAGGCAAATGAATAGAGAGTCTGTAGGCGACTCTTCTTGCAGGTGACAACGCATAAAGCGCTCTCAGACCAGCTGCGATCCCCTCTTTATTTTGCCCCTCTTTTCTTTGACCCGCATTATTAAAATTTAGGCCCAATGAAACCATTCACCCTTTTCAATGGGACATTTTCCTATAGGATAATAGGCTACAAATTGAGCCTCTCCAAAGGGGGGGAAGGAGGGGAAAAGAACAACCTCGAGACACACACCCCACACAAAAAGGACTGTCGTGTGCCAAAGGTTTGAGGGAACCTCCCTGGGTCTGCTGAGGGGAGGAGAGAAATTTTAAAAGGAGGGGGGGGATCTCGTGCCAGCCTCTAGTCCCCACACCTGCCGGGGTGTCCCCGCCACATAAAGCGGGAGAAACAAAAAGGCCTCGCTGCCATCTCTCATAAAGATGGACGTGTCACCAAGTCGTGTGAGAAAAGCCTGAGAACAAACGGGCCCATTCCGTCTCCAAGGGCTCTTCCTTGAACTGGGCGGAACAGCCTATTAAGGGCTTACTTAATTACTTTAATGACTCTGGACAGGCTTTAAAATGCAGTCAGCGCTTGGACGGGGGGGGGGCGAGGGGTGCCTGGGATTTGTAAACAGGCGGTCGTGTGAGAGACCGGCCGGGCGTTTTGGGCCTGAAAGAAGGGAGGCCTGTTGTGTTTCGCAGGCTGCCAGCGCGCCACTGCGCTCAGCTCTCTGGCTGCTCCCCACGGCTCTGCGCGGCCTGTTGCCATGCAAATGCCGAGGTGGGGTGGGGGGGGAATCACGTGTCTTTTGAAGGGCCACGTGGAGTGACAAAGCTAATGTGTCCTCGCCCCCCCCGCCCCTGGGGGGACCCAAACATACACACATTTTCAAAAACTGATCTTTAATGCATGCCTTCTCACCCCCCCCCCCAACACTGCTTTCCCTAATCCTATGGATTTAGCCAGGCCATGAATATCCGCGCACCCACCCACACCCACCCAGCCTCTCCCTCCGAAATCACCGCTTTATAAACCGCCCCTTGGAAGTCAGGTCTCTGCAATCTACCTGGGCCACTTGAGGAGGGACAGCGGGTGCCTTCGGCTTCGCTTGCCAGGATGGCCTCCAAACTGAAGGAGCGGAAAGTGAGTGGGGACTCGCGGGGCCACCCTGCGCGCTGGGGCTGGGCTCAGCCTCCACTCCCCCCTGGGCGAACGGGGAGCCCGTGAAGCCCTTGACTTTGTGGCTCACGTTGAGGTCCCGACAGGAGATGCCTAGCAGCTTTGATCGCCAGTCCCGGAACACCTCTGTGGAGGAGGCCTTTTTGCTCTCCAAGGGGCGGCTGGGGATGGACCTGGGTCCTGGGCACTGACGCATCCCTGACCGGTTAAAGAGCTGGTCGGTGGGGTCCTGCCCCTGGGTGGGTCCTTGGCGGGCAGAGCAAACGTCTGAGGTGAACTGGCGAGAGAAAGAAGAAGGGCTCCGGGGCTGTTGGCGTCGTTGTGGTGCCATGTGGGGTGATCTGCCACAGTCTGTACTGTATAACCCCCCCCCCGTGTTTTCCAGAAAATCCCCGTTTCCCACAAAGTGATCGAAAAAAGGCGGCGGGACCGGATCAACCGCTGTCTTAATGAACTTGGGAAGACGGTGCCCATGGCGCTGGCTAAGCAGGTAGGTGTGCCTGCCTCCCACAGCAGGCAACGTCACCGCTGCGTGGAGGCGTCTCGGGGCAGAAGGACAACGACGAAGTCTGGGTGCTCCTGCGCTTTTCACGCGGGGGAGGGAGTGGGGGAAATCTTGCGACTCTGGTCGCCTGACAAGGGGTCGCGGAGCTCCCAGTTGGCCGTGGCCACTCGGGGCGTACCGAGAATGAAACGTCTTTGGCTTCCCTCCGTCCCCGGCCGTGCCTTCTGCAGCCACGCAGGACCCTCTCCCCGATCAGTGCAGAGGATTCCTGACATCTCCCCGTCGATGTTTTTCAGAGCTCCGGCAAGTTAGAGAAAGCCGAGATCCTCGAGATGACCGTCCAGTACCTGCGAGCCCTTCACTCGGCCGATTTCCCCCGCGGGAGAGAAAAGGGTAGGCGCGCCCTTTGCGGGCTGTGCGCTTGCGGCCTTGGCCACGCAGACGCGGAGAGAAAAGTCTCGTTTGGGCAGCTGGTGGAGGGTTCTGGATAACGGACCGGGAGGCTCTTAATTGTCACCTTTGTCTAGAGGGGGAATGGGGGTCCCTGGCTACGGCATGGGCCCGGGAGGGATCTGCCACAAAGGGGGCTGGTGGTGGGCAGTGTTCTCTCTAAGCTGAGTTAGTGTGAGCTAGCTCACAGTTTTTTAGCCTCCAGCTCACACATTTTAGTCTTAGCTCAGGAAGGATGGCTCCAGAGCAAACCAACTTATGCAGGAGCCAAATTGCTCACTCACAACTTTCATGCCAGTAGCTCATAAAGTAGAATTTTTGCTCACAAGACTCTACAGCTTAGAGGGAACGTTGGTGGTGGGTATATGATGATTTTGTTGCCAGTGTAGCAGGCCTTGAGTTACACCTCGGATCCTTTGGGGAAGCACTGGCAACCCAGTGTCCCTCAGGCTCCCCTTTCCCAACTGTGAATTGATTCTATCTTGAAAAAAATGCTGGGATGTTCCATTTAAATTAAACCTTCCCTTTGAAACAACAATGAGATAAATGCAGGGTCTGCTAGGGAATATTAGCCATTGTGCAAGCCAAAGGAAATTTCCCTGGTTGAGAAGCAGCGGCTCTCCTGACTGGGGAGTCCAGGGAACAGACCACAGGAGACAGCTTGGCTGCTGCGCCAGACAAAATGATGGACTAAATGGACTTATGGTTTGATCCAGCAAGGCTTGTGATAAGCAGCAAAATACTGGGCACTGTAGTCAGTTCCTTGTGGCACTAGAATCCCCTTGGTCAGATCCTTGATCTGACAGGGAGACATGCAGTCACAAGAGAAAGTTATCAGAAATTTTCGCTGTATTCCGTTTGGACTTCATTGGGACTCTGAGCTCCTTTCTGACCTTGGGTAGCAACTGGAAAGATAAGGCTGCAGAAGGCAGCTGTGTTCCTTTGTTGCCACAAAGGCCCTTTTAACACGGTGGCCGTGCAAACCCAAACAGGTCCGCTCAGAATCTGACTCAGGTTTATTCAGTGGGGTTTATTCCCAGGAAAATGTTCATAAGATTGCACTATAATTATGTTATCAGAACAGTGACTGCTGCTGTGAGTGGCTTGCTCTGTTCTTAGCATGGATCCATTTGGGACCATCATGGGAAAGCCATATACCCTTGCATTTCATGGCCAGTAGCACCTTAGACAGCAACAAGAATTTTGGGGTTTGAGCTTCTGAGAATAAAAGCTGCCTTCATCAGACACAAGTGGGACAAAGGGAGATTTGACTCTCAAAGAATCCTGTTGGACCAACCCAACTACCTGCTGAAACTACCTTGTATTTCATGTCCCGGTGATCCTACTGTTTACATTTTTCTCTCTCCGTATCAATGGATACACATGTTGGCCAACTAAGGATAAAATTTCTTACATCTGATGAAGTTCATTCTTGTCCACAAAAGCTTAAGCCACAATAAACCTTAAGGTACCAAAAGTCTGTTGTTTTTGTTGCACCAGACTAACATGATTACCTCTCTGTACTGAATAATGCGGAGGCTCAAGTGGTTAAGACGCTGAACTGCAGGCTGTGGAAGGTCAGTAGTTCAGCAGTTCGAGACCGAGGTGCCGCAAGACGGAGTGAGCTCCCGTCTCTAGTTCCAGCTCCTGCCAACCCAGCAGTTCGAAAGCAAGAAATTGCAAGTAGATAAATAGGTACCACTTTGGTGGGAAGGTAACAACATTCCGTGCGCCTTGGTGTTTAGTCATGCTGGCCACATGACCACAGAAACGTCTTCGGACAGCGCTGGCTCTTCGGCTTGGAAACGGAGATGAGCACTGCAACCCTAGAGTCGGATTCAACTGGCTTTCGAGCAAGGGAACCTTTACCTTTACCTTTTTACTGAATAATTTCCCTTCCAGTTAGTTGCTATTTAGGCCCTCCTTTGGCTAAAAGTAGATTTCTGTTACCAGCCGGGAAGATTATTGACACTCTCTCTGTCTCTGTCTCTCCCCCCCCCTCCAGAGCTGTTAGCTGAGTTTGCCAACTACTTTCACTATGGCTACCACGAGTGCATGAAGAACCTTGTCCACTACCTGACCACAGTGGAACGAATGGAGACCAAAGACACCAAGTATGCACGGATCCTGGCTTTCTTGCAGTCCAAAGCCCATCTTGTCACCGAACCCGTCTTTACCTCCCTGGGATCACTCCCAGAGCCAGACTTCTCCTACCCACTTCCGCCAGCACTAGACTGTTTGGGTCACAGCCCCAGTGACTCTGTTTTCCAGCAGGGCTCTGGCCAAGGGCCCTTCTCCTGGCACAGCTCTGCGAGGAGCCCCCCAATCCCTTACATTCCTAATCCTGCTATGCCACTTGCTAGCCCTGGACAGCAGCGCAGCACCTTCCTGTCATCAGTACAAGGTCTGGACCGCCACTACCTCAACCTGATTGGCCACTCTCACCCTAATGCATTCACCCTGCCTGCTGGTCAGCATCCATCTGTGCTATAGCCTACATCTGGGATTGCCAACACACAATCCAAAGAGGGGTCCCTGTGCTTTTAATAGCTGCACAGAGAAGTATATGGCATTTGCCTTCCTAATGCTGCAGTGACAAAAGAAGCCATACCACCAAACCTCTCCCTGCCATGTAGGTCTTAAAGGCACAGGTGACCTTACAAAGCCAGGTGGTGCTAACCTCACTGGTATGTTGCATATTTATATGATCTCAAGAATAAACTAGCCTGAACCTCAGAATGCTGTCAACAAATGTAAATAGATATGCAAGTAACGGCGGAATAAATGTGAAATAAAGACGAACCACTGGTAAAGGGTCAGTTTGTGCGGTTTGAGATATGTTTTCTGTTTTTATTTATTTAGTGTCCTACTGTGTTGTTCTTCCAGATGTTTACTTCTGTGTTGGCACAAGTAAATGCAATGTGCACATCTTGCTTGTTTTCTATAAAGCATTAACTAAGAATTAATTGGGCACATGTTATGGGCAGTGTTCCCTCTAAGCTGAGTTAGTGTGAGCTAGCTCACGGTTTTTTAGCCTCCGGCTCACACATTTTTGTCCTAGCTCAGGAAGGAGGGCTCCAGAGCCAAACTAATGTATGCAGCAGCCAAATCACTTGCTCACAACTTTAGCGCCAGTAGCTCACAAAGTAGAATTTCTGCTCACAAGACTCCACAGCTTAGAGGGAACATTGGTTATGGGTATGTCCAATTACTGTGCCATGTTGGTTAGAAATTAATAGACAAATTATTTTTACACTGGAGTGTTTATTGAAACTTAATCAACTTACTTCACTCCTTTCTGGAATGTCTCAGAAGGAGAAAAGCTCTGGATCTTACTATAAACCTTGGCAGTAGCTAAACATATAACACTTCAAAGTGGGAAGCAATACTTATACCGCTCATTGAACATCCACAGACTGAAGCCATGTTAGACCTTGCAGTTAAAGAAAGAGTAGGATTTAATAGACAAGAAAGCAATGTGAGATATTTTGCCCTTTGGTTTGAATTTGTAGATTTAATTGGATATTAAATTAATTTTTAATAAGAGGAAACAAAAAAATGCAAAGGGACAGGGAAACTGTTGCAAAGAGAAGTGGGAGATGGCTTTGCCATATTGGTTGAGGCTGAGGTGTTGCTCCACTAGCACCCCTGGGAGTTTTGCCGCTGACTTAAGAGAAGCCTCATTGTACAAAATGTGTTCTTTGGTGCAAGACAGGTAATAACCCAATGCTCCTGACTCTGTTAGGTGCCTCTTATGGTTACACACTGGGCCTGACACCTCCACACTTCCTTGGGAGGAAATCTCAAGCTAATTAATCTGAAGAAACTTGGTTAGGGGACGTTTTGTAATTGGCTTGTCAAGAACATGGGTTGAATGTGTCATTATGAAGCTCTGTGTGTGGTTTTACTATGGCTGGATCACATTCTTGTTGATTCCCACACAATCAAATGTGTGAGTGCTTGAGGCTGCTGGTCAGCTCATGCTCTAGCCCTGTGGAGGCAGCATGCGTCATCCACCAGTGCTGTAATCAGGGAGGAAGATGTGCCACTCTCATGTTCTCTGTGACTGCAACAACTGGGAAAAGGGCTACCACCCTTGTTCAAATCGCAGCAGCTGTAAGTCCACGTTGTGGTGCCAGATCATACGAGTGGGACCCAAGTGATCCTGCCTCAAATGTGAGTCAGCTAGTAGCTTGTGACTCCTGTATTCCTAACATGCTAATTCAACCACGAGTAGAAATGTGTGGAGAAATTTTGCTCAGTTTTAGATTTGTCTTATTTTGTTTATTAAAAATGTTCAGATTATGTAATACTGTTATGTCAGGTGTTAGAAGTCATTACAGTGTTTAGACAACAATCCATTGGATTCGGTGGGGGACACATTTCTTTCTGCAATCGTTTTGACTCCCGATCAAGATGAAATTCTTAGGGATTTATCCCTCCCGGAAAGTATCCACATCCGTGCCCTTGTGGCTTGGTAGTTAGAGGGTTAGATTAGGATTTGGGAGATTCAGGTTAGAATCCCCACTCTATGAAAGCTCCTTGGGAGGTGACCTAGAACCAGTCACTGTCTCCGCCTGACCTACCTCGCAGGGTGATGCTGTGAGGATAAAATGAAGGAGGGTAGAATGACACTGTAAACTGCTTTGGGTCACCATTGGGCAGAAAAAGGGGGTATAGATACAGAAATAAAAAATGCAAGTAGGAGAAAGTGTCTCCATTTCAGAAGCAACTAAAATTCTCTTCTACTCTCTGAATTGGGAAGCTGATGAGATTTCATCCATAAAAGGGGGAAAAATCATGCAAGAAATGAGACTTCCATGTTATAAAACTCTGGATTTGTATGTAGCAGCTTCTGTTTTTCTCCATCTGTATAAAATGGCTATTTTTTAGAGTGCAATCAATTTTTGTTTGCATGTACAAACAGATTTTACTTGCTCTTAGTAAGTAATTAAAAGAACAACATACTTCAGTTTCAGCCAATATATGTAATAATGATTTAACCACTTTTAACCAAGAACAAAGGTATTTTGGCAAACATTTGCTAAATTTTTATCAAATAACAGTGATCAAAACTTTACCCAAACAAGATAAACTGTACTTCAATAGTTAAATGCTTTGAACGCAACATTTTAGTAAAGGGAATATAATGATGCCCTGAAATAGTTTCTTTCCCCAGGTATTCCTGTATGTTGATAGTCCAGGTTGTCCTTATCTATGTAGGGCACTTGAGTAACTTCTACACCTGTGCTACCAAAATAATATTTTCCTTTCTGTGCATAAATTACTATAGACTTTGTTTAGTATGGTCTGGACTTCTGGATCTGTGAAGGTCGATTATTCCATTTAATTCTGCAGGCTTCCCAGAGATCTGAGTTGGATTGTTTACTGAGGTCATGGAATAGGCTGACCCACAATTTGTGAGGCATCCACCCCATTATCCCAAGACAGACAAAAAGATCTTCATTACAATGAGGATAAAGCACAGTGTATTTCTTCCATTTAAACTGTAAACACAGAAAAACCTGGTGCAACAGATTGACTTAGGAGAGGTCATACTGCTGGACAATTTGAGGACAGGGAGGAGGAAATAATGGCCTGTTTTGTCAAGACACACTTAAGACTCTAAATCCAAAGGAAGGCAGTAAGAAAATGGCTCTGCTTGAATGTCTGCAGGATATGCAGCAGCAGGAGAATGGCTGGTGCCTATTATTGGGAACCATGTCTTACACTCATTTTCATCATCCCTTGAGGTAGAATATGAAGAAAAAGCCTTTGACTATTTTTCTCTCTCCCGGCACTAAGCCATGCAGAATATCCTTTGGCACTGAAGCATTACAGATATAGTGTTACCTTGGAAATATAAATTATTATTAATTTATTCAACATTTTGTCCACTGTTAACCAAATTAGACCAGCCCCCCCTGTCCCTACTTTCCTTTGCTAAGTAGATATTCTCTGTGGGATTAGCACAAGGCCACCATAGTAAAAACTTAGGTCATTTACATATAATTTTGCAAACTTGCAGTGGGCCATGACAGTCTTTGTGGCTCAAATGTTTCTATTCTTGATTCCCCCCCCCCCATTTTCGTTTTCATTTCACTGAGGAGGATAAACCCTGCTTTAGAGTTACAATGGCTTTTGGATAAAAGTCTTGCTCTCTCGTCCCCCTTCAAATCTTCCTCTGACTGTCCAAGTTTCCACTCTGTAGCACAGACACACAGACCCCGCCAAATATCTGTGCCGTCCAGTAAATGCTGAGAGTCAAATATTAGGTAGTTTTATTTCCTTCTCATAATGTGAATGATACTTGTTTGAGCTGAAGAAAGAATAACTTGAGGCAGATTTAGAGTTCAATGTGTCCCCCCCCATCTTCCCACAATGCTTCAATTCATGCCGCCTTCTCTCATGTGCTTTCTTTTTAAGTAAGTTGTATAGCACTGGTTTCCAAGAGCAAAACACAGAGAAAATAGTGGTTTGGGCCTGGAGGTGATCCATTGTATTGTCTCTGAAAAGAATAATATCTTGTTTCTTGGGCTTCATCCTTGAGTGGGCAAGAAGAAAAATAATCATCCCCATGAAATCAAAGGTTCTCTCTACACATGGGAATGAGGAACAAAGCTGTTCACCACAACTAGGCCTCGGTCTCCTTGAATCTCCCTTGGCTGCTGGAGGAGCCTTGCGGTTTGCATGGGTCCACCCAGTGCCCAGCAGCCTTCTTAATACAGAGGTCACTTGTGCTTTCAAGCGTTATTAAACAAACAAATCCTTATGTTCCCCTCACAGTTACAGGATCACTGGCCTTCGACTGGCCCTTGAGCACACAACAGAGTAAGGTGAGGGGAAGAGAGAGAGAGAGTGCAGTCAAGAGAAGGTGGCAGTTGAAGATTGGGTTCAAAGACACTCATGAATAAATAAAAAAGCAATATGGTTCCTCAGAGAGAAACCACTTGGCAGGCCACAAGGCAAGAGGCGACCGATAGCCAAATACACAAGAGGGGAGCATAATGGTGAAAAGTACAAGTTGCTGCTTACTTTGGAAATCAGTCATTTCAGAATTAGGGCTTCTTGCACTAGCTCTTCACATCTATTATTACAGTTATACTGACAACAACTGTTCAAAGGAAGCCTTCATTAATATCACCATATGGGGGACTAAAAGTGACTCAGGCTTCCCGATGAGTTTGTAGCTGGCTTAAACCAGTCACTTCCCAGATCACAGTTCATATACTTGTACCCTGTGTTGCACAGATAAAAGCCATTTGACAATGCAAGAAAGGTAGGTCTACATTGTACACTGTATGCACTTGGGACTGGTTCACACATACAACGATATCACTTTTCCCCGTCATTTCAGCCTCACACACACAGCATAAGAACATACAGTCAATGCGTGTAGAACAAGGGAAAGGACTGCATCTACTGGTCTCATACAGATGAACACATATAAACACATAAAGCCGCCTTATACTGAATCATACCATTAATCTATC